CAGGTGGGTGTGTGGGGGCTGTGTGCCCACTTCCTGCAGAAATGTAAGAAAGGCTGGCTGGCCTGCTGTACCTGTCCTGCAGACGGGAGCCAGGAGCGTCCGTTGGCCTAAAGCCACCCTTTCTGCTGACAGCCCTACTCCGTCCTGTCCACTCACCCCTTTCATGGTCATGGCTGTCTGGACCTTGGAAGCCACAGCGTCCACACGGGAGGCCATGCGCAAGCAGTTCACCCCCTCGTTCTTCTTGCGGATGGCATTCTCAGCATACACACGTGCACACTCCACATTCTTCTGCTGAAGGGCCTGGAATTTGGGGAAAATGTCAGTTGGGGATGAGTAGGTGGCCTGTCTTGCACACTGCTCTGCCCTCCACCATCTGATCCTGACCCCCCCAGGACACGTGCTATGTGTGAAACCCTCCCCACCCTCCCCTCCCCATGCAGGTGGGCTTGCTCAAGTGCTGCAAGCTTACTGAAAACACAGACCCCTCTCAGAGGTAGGCACTGGGGTCATGAGGACGGTGCTGAGTAAAACCAAGTGCACGGTGTGAGGACCCGTGAGGTGAGGCACGGTGCTCAGAGGGGCCTGAAAGCTGCACTGCCCAGGACAGCAAACAGAATCAGAGTTCAAGACGAGCTGGCAGCCCGCCCGGTGGCCTCACCTTCTTCACTTTGGCTTGCTCAGCTTTGGATTCCTTCTCCGCCTTCTTGGCCAGTTTCTCCAGCTGCTTTGCTGTGAACTGAGGATGGACACCAGTCAGAGGGAGAGCCAGGGGGCCAGGACACGTGCCCTCTCACAGCCACCCTCAGGGGCTCGCCACATGCAGGGTGGATCAGGTAGGAAGCACATCTGGGGCTGTGAAAGTGCCTGTCCTGCTCACAAACAACCTGAAAATCATCACACACGCTGTGTTTCCAACTTCAGCTGGGGACAGATATGGTCTCACCTCACAGAAAGAGGACACTTCGCAGGCTACAGACCTGACCCACTGGGGCATGACCCTCACAGTCACGCGCGGCCACGCATAACCTTCAGCCCTGCCAACCCCTAAAGAGGGCCGTATCTGGCTGGGGCAACCCTAGGACCCCGGAAGTTAGAAGTGTTGCTAATCCATTAGGTGAATCCCACCCCCTCAGGCAAGTGCCTCCCACCTGCTCCCTCCCCGCCTGGGCCCACACTGACTAGACTTCACCCACGAGGTCGTCCACAAACTCACAGAGATTTTTTAGTCAATGTTTGCTGCACCCAAGCCTTGTTCTTCCTCCAAACTCTCTAAGCCTACACATGTGGCTATCTAAGTTTACAATATCCAAAGTTAAACAAAATTCAAAATTCCATTTATCATTTGCCTACTGAGGGTCCCAGACCAGTCCATGTCAGCCCTCCCAGGCCCCATTAAATAGGCCCTAATTTGATGGGGCAGACAGTTGGGGGCTCAGGCAGTCAGAAACGCAAACATGACCTCGGGGACCCCGAGTTCCTCAACTGTGGACCTTACTGACCTGAGAATGTCACCTCAGCCTGCAGTACACAATTCCTGATCCCCAAGAGGCAGCCCCACCCCTGCAGGTAACACCTCACGCCGCACCCAGAACCACATCCCAATCCAGTGCCTACCACTAGTGCCCAGGCTCTCAGAACTAGTCATGTTCTCAGGTGCCGTTGAGTGAGTGCTGAATCATAGTGACCCTGTGCAGTACAATAGAACGAAAACCTGCCGGGCCTGAGCCACCCTCACAACTAGTGACAAGACACCATCCAGCTGAATGTGGATGATGAACTGGGGAGCCGTGGGGAGCCATGGCACACACCAGCCCGGACAGAGTTCATTTGAAGGCCACAAAGCCAAGCAGAGCGGAGGGAGCGCTCACTGTCCTGCAGACTCTCCTTCAAGTGCGTCTGTGAGGGATTTGAGGCTGCTTTGGAAGACTCTGCATCATACCCAGGGACATGTGCTTCTTAGAGATAAGGCACTTGGCTCCTTCATGAAAAGCATGCCCAATGGATTTGTTTCCAACCGCCTCAGACAGAAGAGGCTGTCAGCATCTGAGGAGGCCCACTGTGGGTTAGCCAGCCGCTAGTCTATCACAGCTCCGTGTTCTGAGGTTCGGGATGGTGTGACTCACAAGGCTCGTCCTCACCCATCACCACAGGACAAGGCTGAGGAGCACTCATACATACCTTCAACTGGAACAGGTTATCTGCAATGAGAGAGGAAATGTGTGAAGGTTCGGGAATGTGATGGAGGTACATCTGTCTCCTACAGTGTGGGTGGTGAACTTGAACCACTGACCTTTTGGCTAGTAGCTGAGCATCTTTAACTACTGAGCCACCAGGTCTCCCCGAACTAATCCTTTCTGGAAACAAATCCTTTATCACGCTCCCTTCACAGGCAGCATACGTAGGCTTTAAATCATTAAAAAGGCTTCAAACCTTTTCTTGCACCAAAACCCATTGCCATGGAGTTGATTCCAACTTCTAGTTACCCGACAGAACAGACGGACAGCTTCTTTAGCTTTCCGTGACTCTCGGTCTTTATGGGAGCAGTCTCCTCTTTCTCCTGTGAGCAGCTGCTGGGTTTGAACTACCAGCCTTGTGGTTCGCAGCCCAATGCCAAGCACACCCCCCTCCGAGTTCATTCGGACTGGTAACGAGCTGTGCAGGATGCCAAGGCTGTAAATCTCACCGTTCTCCAGAGGACTGGAGCGGCCGGAGGCTCTGAACCACTGTCCTTGCAGTCAGCAGCCCAGAGCTTATCCTACAGCACCATCAAGGCCCCTTGCTGGCCGACTAAGAACTGTGAATACCTGTTCCTACTCACCTGGAAATGTGACTGAAAGCTACCCTGAGGAACAGATCTCATTTGTAACTTGGGGGCTTTTTCTTCCCAAATGTAAATGGAGAGGCAGCAAGGCAGTCAGTGTCCTGATGTGAGAGGTGCCATTCGCCCCCAGTGGGCAGAACACACATTTCCATGGCATGAGCTTAGGTGCCCTTCCCTGTCCAGACTCAGAAGTCAAAGAGATATGAGAATGTTTCTTTGAAAAATATTCCTTAAGGCAGAATCTCCACTGAGTAGTATCCAATCTGTTTAGGCGAGGCTGATGAAAGGAAATGCGGATGGGTCTCTTGTTGATACAATAGTGAATAATTGTTATCAGGATTGATTATGAGGGTTGGAAATGTAAAGGTAGACATTTTATAGCAAGGAGGGGTGTGGTTAACTTTTCAGCCTAGGAGCGAAGGTCCCTGGGACCATCAAGGGAAGAGTAGAGAGCGGGACCCTATTCAGAGAAGCAGTGACGCCAGAGATGGAGGCAGAGATGATGACGTGGGAAGATGGAGCGGCTGGGGACTTAAGACCCAGAGAGGGAGAGGGGCTGTGTGCTGATGACCAGCTTGCAGGCTTGCAGGGTATACCCTTTGGTTGGTTGATGATGCATGGAGGGAATTGTAACCATGGCAATGAAACGATATACGACAGGATGAATGTAAAGCTAATATTCTCCCATGTAAACTATCACATAATTCACAATAAAACATTGAAAAAATAAAAATTCCTGAAAATCAAAACCCTTGCTATATACATAGCAAACTCATGAACAAAGCCAGCGCTGATTCACTTGAAAACTAATCTCAATGTACTTAGTTCCGGGATTTGGAGAACAAGGGACATCTGAGTCTTGACCGCATTTACCACACTCGCCAGAAGGAACAAACGAAACCAGAATGAAGGTGCTGAGTGTGTACAAAGACAAATTGTGGTGCCTGACAGCACGGGGGGTTCCAGACAAACTCCCATCAAAGCCCCTCACACCCCAGCTTTCCCATCTAAGTTTAAACAGCAGCATTTGACTTTGTGGTGCTGTAGATAAGCACTGAACTGTTAACCACTAGGTTGGCAGTTCAAATCCACCAGCTGCTCCTCAGAAACCCTATTCAAGGTTGCTGTGAGTCGGAACTGACTCGACAGCCCTTCACAACAACAACCCTGGAGAAAATGGGTTGAAGACAAATTTCTTCAAAAGGTAAGTGAATTACGGAGCAAAAACCCCACTGCATAAATATCTTTTATGGAGGAAGGAGAGTTGGTTGGTATTTCTCCTTGTCAATTTGAATGAAACCCTGATGACAACGATAAGGCTGTACAGCTTTTTACATGTCACAAAGTATTTTCCAAAATCAAGCGCGGCAGCCCTAAGCATTTCAGCAAATACAGTCACCTTCCCGCTCTCTGCCACCTTAATCCCTGAGCACAGAGGGCAGAGAGGGCCGGTGGAGGAGAAGAGGCTGCCGGGGGCATGGGCTCTGCCCGCTGCCTGCCCCTCTCTCCACAGCTGGTGAACGGCGGTGCTTACCACCCTGCGTGGCCCGTAGGGTGCGTTTTGTGGTCTGAGCGTTTCCCATCACTCTTACCGAGGGTAGCAAGAGAGGATGGCCGCACCCGACTCCTTCTTCGGCTGCCCTCTGACCCTACAATCCCGGGCTAGACCCGCAGGGCATCGCCACCCGTCCCTGATGTCCAGGTGCACAGGACTGGGCACTGGACGCCGAGGAAGGCTGGGTGGGGGCCAGAAGAAGCCGAGTTCGAGAACAGGAGAGACGAGGTCCGATTCAGCTGTCCCGATGGCGCCAGAGCCCAGCCCCGCGGCCCAAGGTGGGCAGGCCGGTCCCTTGTGCCCGCGGGAGGGGACGTGCTGACCCCAGACCCCCTCGGTCGTGGTGGTCTCTTACCGTCCATATCCGACGCTGGGCCGTGGCGCCCCTCGAGAGGCGGGGGCAGCAGGGCTCGGAGAACTGGTAGTCACTCACACCTACGGCTCCGCCCAGAAGGGACTTCCGGGACCACCTTTCCGCTTCCGGTCTGCGCGTTACACTGAGGGGGTGGAGCCATCACGTGGGCGATCGCTTCCTCGCGAGCCTCCAGAGGGCGCGCTCAGAGAGGGGAGTGATTGCCGTGGTGAGGAGTCCCCGCGTCGGAGTCCCCCTTCTTACCCGAGATGAGGCGCTCCTTTGTGAGTCACACGGGGCTGGTGTCAGTGCGGAAGAGAGGTGCAAGGACTGCGCCTGCGCCGGCCGGGGCTACGGGCTCACCTATGGGGCTTTCCAAAAGCAAGCACCAACTCGGGAAAGGTAACGTGTGTGAGACCAGCCGGGCCCGTGTCCCGAACTGCCATTGCTGCTGTCTCACCGTACAGACCTGGCCCCACCGCACTTAGGTTCCCTGCCCTAGTGTCTCTCGGTGGGGTCCAAACACGTTGTCAGATCCTGTAAGTACAGGAGCTCCAGGGTCCAAACTGTCTGATGCAAACATCCCCACGCCTCAAAGTCCTCTCCGACATGGACAAGCTAAGGCCTTTCTATCCAAAACCCTGTGAAATGTCTACGTTGTTCCCCGACACAGTTTTAATGGATCATATCATTCTGGACCCAGGCAGGCAACTGAAGGAAGATGGGAACCATCGTTCTAGACTCATTAAACTATAGTCTAATTCTCCATATATTCCAGGTGAGGTGCAAAAGAAGGGTTCTGATTCCAAGTCTAAGGAGAAGGTGCAGGAGAGGTACACCTTGGAGTCCAGGCAAGCAGGTAGGGAGCCTTGAGACAGAATCCCTTCCTCTGCAGAGATTACCCCACACACACCTGGGGACGCCAGTGACTTTCTGCTTCATCTGAAGGGCCAGAACTGGAGACCCAAACTAATAGGAGTTTGGGAAACTATAAGATATAGGTGATGGGGTACTAGACTTAGAGCAGGTACAGACATTAACAATGAAAACGGTTTGTGTTAGGATGCAGGAGCGAAACTACAGAAATCTGTCAGTTCCTAAAATAGTTTAGATCAGTTTTCAGGTGAAATATGTACCAGAATAGCAACACTGATCCTTTCAACATCTACTTTCATATGTTTGAATATTTCCACAGTTAAGTTTTCTTTGAAGGTAGAATACGCTTAATTGCGAGAAAATTTCAACAAAGAAGCAAAACCTAAGTGGCATTTGTTCCACCAGCTATTAAAAATCCTCATGGTGAGTGAAAAACAGCCGATCTTAAAAGGTTACACATGTTATGATTCCATTTATAGAATATTCTCCAGTTGAGATGGGGAGCAGGTTGCAGGGTCAGGGATGGTGGGGGAGAGAAGAGATGTGGTTGTATACCACCAAGTTGGTTCTGACTTACAGGGTTTCCGAGGCTGGAAATCTTTACAGGAGCAGAAAGCCTCGTCTTCCTCCCAGACTGCCCGGTAGATTGAAACACTGACCTTAAGGTCAGTAACCCAGTTTGTAATCCACTACGCTATCAGGGCTCCTTAGATTTGCATATTAGTCATATTAAATACAAAGTTTGTGTTGTGTGATCCTAAGGCTATGATAGTGTGCATGTGTCGGCACAGGGAAACTAAGACATTTGATAAGCAAATTCAAACTGAAGCTGAAGAAAATGAAAACAAGTCCACGAGAGCCAAAATATGACCTTGAATTTATCCCACCTGAATTTAGAGACCATCTGAAGAACAGATTTGATGCATTAAACACTAAAGACCGAAGACCAGAAGAGTTGTGGGATGACAGCAAGAACATCATACATGAAGAGAGCAAAAAGTCATTAAGAAGACAAGAAAGAAGGAAAAGGTCAAAATGATGTCAGAAGAGACTCTGAAACTTGCTCTCCAGCGTAGAGAAGCTAAAAAGCAAATAGAAGAATTGAGGAGATCCAAGAGCTCAACAGAAAATTTCAAACATCAGCTCGAGAAGACAAAACCAGGTATTATAATAAAATATGCAAAGATTTGGAACTAGAATACCAAAAGGGAAGAACACAGCATTTCTCAAGCTGGGGGAACTGAAGAAAAAATTCAAGCCTCGACTTTCGTTATTGAAAGATTCTCTGGGCAAATTATTGAAT